AAATTCTTCCTTTTTCACAAGAATACAACAAATTAAACAATTCTCGGGTTGTTTTCAATACAATACTAACTATATAAAAATACTTTTCCAGGCTGAAGAGTCCCTGCACACTTAACTGTTCCCTCTATTGCATTTCCTCATTTGAGATCATCTCTGTTGTCCTTCTTGGAGTTTTTCCCAATTCTATTGTATTACAATCTAAAGCAAGGAAAAAAAAACACCTCACAAAAAAGAAAACACCCAAACAGCACATAAGTATGGGGAGATTTTTTTGTTCTTGCCAAATATCCTCTACCTTGAGAACAAAAACAAGAATAAGAAGTCAGATTATAACCTTGATCTTCTAGAAAGAAAAGCTTCGGTGAAAGAAGATGCCCTTAGTCCCCATTAACTGCCTGTAAAAAAATGGGAAAAAAAGTAATTAAAATTAAAACATTTTTCCTAAGTTATTGCATAAGTTACTGCATACTTCAGAGAGCTATGAGGCTCTGCTGTCACAGACAGATGAATGTAAGTTTAAAGTTCACACAGATCTGCAGGACTTGGCCACAAATCATAAGTGAGTGCACTGCAGAGAAGCTGCAGTATATTTCTTTTGAGAGACAGATATTACAGTGTGCAACTGCAAATATCAAAGGTCATTTAAGAGACTCCTCCTCAGTGCCCTGTGCTTATCTTCTCCCTCTACTTGCACCCATCAAATTGTTGTAGAGCTGCTCTTTAAGCAAGACAGGTGAAAAGATGCAGGTTAAACCCAAACAAATCACTGTTTCCCAGCAGAGGAGTGAGAGTTAACAGCAGGGAGGGTGGGAATAAATCAGTTTTGCTGCTACAGGATTGAAATGTGGAACAAACCCTACGAATATTTTACACATCTCATGTCCTACAGTAACAGTGAACACTCCTAAAGCAAACTGGGGCAGCCTGAAAAGGGTGTTTCCCTTAAAAACATCATAATGTTCAAACTAAAATGCAAGGCCAAAAGAGTTTGGAATATTTACCACCATGATTTATTGTATATTTTTTGTGCGCTTGCAGGAGCCAAAAAAATCCTTTCATAAGCAAGAGAAATGTATTTTCTTATGAAACTGCATCTTATGCATTTTTCTTTATACTAAATAAGACATGAACTTTGACTCCAGATCTTTGTAAGGCTGAACTACTCAAAATAGCTCTGTACTTTCTTCAGTTTTTCATTTTAGTAAGTTTGTCAAAAATTAATGTCTGAAAAATTAACATTTGAGACTTCTACCTGTTAATAAAGTACAATCACTTTTGCAAAAAGCAACTGGGAGAAAAGATGGACAGAGAAAACATGATCACAATAAGCCCCGTTCCCTTAGAAATGAAAGTTAAAAATATAAAAAACCAATATCCACAATCCCAGGGAAAGCAGATAAAATCAAGCTGGGAGCTCCTTGTGCCCTGTGACAGCTCTCTAATTATTTTCACTGCAGAAGAGACTGTACAATAAAAAGATCTGAAATCAGAGCAAAAATGTTCCACCCCCAAGCCAAGAAAAACAACAGGGATGCTCGGGAAGGAATGAGAATAGATCTGAAAATTACTTGTATGATAAACACAGTTAACTTTTTCCTCCCTCAAGAGGGGGAAGAAGGTCAGTTTACAATATCCCTTCTTCCTTCCTTCCATTTCTAACCTTACCATTTGTACCAGCCATATTTTCTTTCCACTTCTCCTTTCTGTTTCCTCTGTGCCCATGTAAACCTTGTTCCTTCCTTATTTTTCACAGCCCTCCCTCTGCCATTCTCCTGTATTTAATACTCAAGCCTCTTTATAGTCTCCTCTTCATTCTCATTGCTCCTGAGCAAAACCAGCCATTTTGTAAGGAAATTTGAAATAATGCAACCACAAACCATACCTGGCCAAAGCCCTTCTTGCATGATTTTGGCCATCCAGGCAAAATCCAACCTGTGAAAATCCTCCCCATTTTAAGTTTCTCTTAAAAATAAAAATAAACCAAAGTCAAACACGTTTGGGCATTAATTAAACACAGGAAACAGAGAGTTTATACCAAAATCTATGTCCAAAGACTAAATTAAAGCTTACTTTGGCAAATTGTTCATACTGGCCATTTGGGAGGGGTGGGGAAATTGTTCAGACAGAAGGAAGAATAGGAAGAACTTGCTTGTCTTGGCTACTTCTCTCATTTTTCCATTCTTTCCTTCTTTCTTTCTTCTCCTGTGTGTAACACCCACAGATTTCCTAATGAGACAGTATGAGACCCACCACACACTGCAGTGTGGGTGTAACTTAAATGAAAAAGAAACCTAAATTAACAAGTAACTTGCATGGATATTTATATTAAGTGCCACAAAACTGAAAAGTGGTATTAAATAGCATTAACATTAAACGTAATATTATAATATTACAGACACTAATGTTAAAAATAAATTGTGATAGGTGAAAATTTTCTCTTCAAAATAGTATAACAAGTCTCCTCTGCTCAACAGATCTAGAAGGATAAGATCTGCTCATTGAAGTAAGATAGCTTGGCTTCTAGTTCTGAAATGAATCCTAATACATCATGCCTTGACATAAAAGGTAGTCTAAAATCTTATTAATACGGGTCCAATAATTCTCTTTCAACTAAATTTTGAATACATCCTGCAATGTGCACATTAAAACTGACCTGAAAAGATGTGACTTCAAATGGGGGTGGAATGCTGGCCTGGGATACTCAAAATAGTAAATAACCAGTTAATAGCCATCCTAAGGTTCCTCCTCCAGAAACAAACTTCCTGGCAATAGCAGGGGTTTTACAGCAGGGAAACTCAACACAGACTTGCATAACTTTGAGCAAAAAGAAACCATATTCGGCTTGAGGAGCTCAAGAAGTTTTAATAACCTCCAAATGCAGCAAAAGCTGCAGCTCAAACATCTCCCCAGCAGCACCTTCAGCGTGTGCCCCCGGTGAGCCACACACACTTCTTGGGATGCTACAAAACCCCAGGCAAAGGCTGGCCTGGGAGCTGGGATTCACCTCTCCGTGACAAACACAAACCCATCTCACTGTCCTCCACAAAGAGAACCCCTGACCCCAGAGAGGAAGGGGGAACACAAGAGGTTTGGGGATGTTTGAGTGAAGGCAACGGGCTCACCTGAAACAGTCCCCAGAGGGAGGTCCCAGTGAACACCCACCTCTTCTGTTATTTCCTTCCCAGGTAAGAACAGACTTGAGCGGAACTTGAATAAACTTGACTCTTGGACCTGAACAAAGCACTCCTTTCTTACAAATTACAGCCCTGAGCAAAGCAGGCTGAGAGAAGAGGAAAGAGCTGGATTTGGAAATGAAGTTGAACATGAACGTTCGTTATCACAGCCTGTTTTCTTCCTATGGTTCTTTATTGTTAATTAATGACGGGGAGGTTAACAGCAGAAAACTGATGGAACAGTAATTCTGCCTCATCCAAAGTAAATATCTTTAATCTAAAACTGTCACTGATATTACTGATGACCTCCTCAAATGCATATCCTTAAGTTTTTCATTTTCAGGAAACAAGGGGAAGAGTCGAGCAGAAGATCAGTTCACAACCCTGGGACAGCATACCAGTATTTTTACTGAAAAGTTCATGACATAAAAGAAAATGTAAGACCCTAAAGTTTCACAAACACCCACAAATCAGTGTTGCATCTGTCTGCATATATAAAAACAATTATTGTGGCTGGTAGTTTTACCTTATAAAACCACTGGTTTGAAAAACCTACTTTTTACTGAGGCAGGAAACTTTAAAAAACAAAGAATAAAAAACATCCCTCAATAAAAGAAAACACAGAAAAACCTCAACAAGTCTTAGAAATTCTGATCCCACCTTCTGTAACGTCCCTCTGCTTTCACTGCAAGAAAATTCTATTTGTTCACTAAAAACCAGAAAAGGTCTGAAAGTTCCTGTGTTTGACAAACATCAATAATATTTTAAAGGGATAAAATGTAGTTACAACTTGAAAGGAAAAAAGGGTTTAGAAATTCTTTAGTGATCAGAAGCATCTTTTGCTCATGCAGTTTTGTGTTCCTGGGGGTGGGAAAAGGCCCTCCTGTTGTGCCATAACAATCTGGCTCCCATATATGCCTAAAATTTTGCAATAATAAGCCAACCATACAGTATGCAACCCACATTTTCTTCATTAAAACCACCCATTATTGTTGACAATAGCATTTAAAGCTGCAACCACCAACTGGAATTCCATAGGAATATACCTTTTCAATAATGGAAAACATTATGAGAAGCAAACAATTTGTTCAGAATTAAAATTGGTAATATAACATACATCGAGTTTACCATTTATGAGTATAGTGATCAGATATTGTAAGTATGTAACAATATTCACTGCAGAAGCCATAGCTCAGTAGTGATCCATCTCAATATATTTAAGGAATGTGACAAACCGTGGCCAGCCCTTTTTTCTGTGACAAGTTTATAACATGCTTCGTGCTAGTAATAAAAAAAAAAAGTCATTTTTTTCCAAAGAACTACTTAAAAATAAATTGCTTTTATGATATAAGACCAACAGATAAGCCTATCAACTGTAAAACCTACCATTATGACTGCAATGAAATGATATTAAACAAAAATTGGCAAGTCATTTAGCCCCCAAGCTGATGTAACAGAGCACAAGCTCCAGTGATCATTATCTTTGGTTTGAAAGGTGGATATACTGAAATTGCACTTATTAGTCTCACCACCCTCACACACACAAAAAAATCAGTTCCATTTGGGTAAAAGTTCTTAATCCTGTTCTCTCCTGCACTCCCAAGGTCATTGGGGCTGCAGTTCCACTGGTGAAGTCAGAAGGTCATTTATCACATCACAGCAACTCTTCGAGACTGGATACGTTGCCACAAGAGGGAGAAGCAAAGATATTATTTCTAAATTAAAATCTTCCTGATGGCAAATTTCTCCTAGAAAAAATAAAGAGCAGTACTTTCCACTATACTTTACCTTCCTTTATTTCATGACAAGTCAAATAATTTCTTTCACCTGTGAGAAACAAAGGAGCAGATGCTCCACGTTCCACTGATTTCCACTGACCACGTTGTTTTCGTGCTTCCAAGTAGAGTTGGACTCTTGAAGCAACAACTTCTTCCAGCAGCTTGCAGAGCTCCTGGAAGAGTAACCAGTGGCCTGCTTAGATCTAAATTTACAGAAATCGATACAAAATCACCCTCTTTCACATTAAAAGGAAAAACATCATCTGCAAGTCAGTACTGAGGGGAGAAGCACATAAATTAGGAAACAAATGGGAACAAGGAGGGAATGAAACCATTTCTCTATAAAACAAGAGAGGAAGTACACGATGAAATTCTCACTTGGCAGATGAAATACATTATATTACAGTACTATTAGTTTTTTAATCAGAAATTGGTTTCACATGCAGCCAATGTAGGAAAAAATACACGTTAAAATGTATCACAACATTAGGTATTTGAGAAAAATATTACTAAAATCCTCCCAGGAATTGTCAAGACACTATTTCTCTGCAAGAATCCTTACAATCCACAACAGATATTTTGCTTCAATTCAGTGTAATTTGGGGGGAGGAAGACTTGGAGCAAATTAGGTCACAGCAACTTAATTTCTCTAATTCATTTTGATTTTTCTGCTCCTAAACATAACTGTTCATATTTCTCATACCTTCTTCAAGAAAGCACAGTGAAACCACATACAACTCAGGGAGAACAAACTCTTCAGCCAGAATAACCATAAAAAAAGAATAACTTGGAGTAAAAACAAAAATTAATCTCTCGAATACCAGAATAAGTTTTCAGTTTGATACTCACACGCATATTTGAGACTTTTCCCTCAGTATTCTCATTTTCCATTCTTCATAACTATTTCCTCACAGAAATGATACTTGGTGGCACACAAAACTACAATTTTACCTTTTTATTGTGTTTGGGTAATGACAAAATTATATTAGCAGTATCTAAATTAAATATCTTGGCCTGAAATTTCCTTTTGGTTAATGTAGAAAGTATGCAGAGTAACAAATTTTTAATGCATTGCTCTTAATGAAAGCAGGGCAATATATTGGTCAACCACAGCCAGTATTTTCTCCTTACAGTAAGAAATACATTTTCCTTTCTGCTTGTAGAGTCTAATTATAAAATACTATATTTACTTATTCTTCTGTTTAACTCATTAAAGTGATCCCATTACACATTCCTGCACAGGACTCTGTGTTCAGGTTAGAATGAAAAGGCCTAGAAAGCAGCAGAAACATGGTGTGTATTTGGTTCCTTCTGCACCAATAAACATCACCATGCACTTCCTTCATTTACATGGAACATATTTTAGCTTTTATGCTCATGGAAACATTATTTAAATGGTTCTCCACAAAGAACTACACAGACCTAAGAGCGCAAAGATCTTTCAAAACCACTTGTGATGAGCACATGGAAGCTCTCATTAAAAAAAAAAAAATATATATATATAAAGGCATATTTCTTCTTTAAGACCTTTTTGCCCCACTTACATTAAGATCCTGCCTGGGACTTGGAGGAAGCAAATGCAAAGCTATTGGACTCCCACTTCTCAGTTGCTGAAAATATGCAACCTTTGTGCTTCTCTCGAAACGTGCGGCCCCAGAAACGCGATGAAGGCTGCCCTGTCATGCCTCTTTATTAAATCAATCATGATCTAATTTCCTGAAATTCATATCTTTTGTCTTGGCAGCCTTACAAAATACATTTTGAAAACGTTTAAAACTCAGAGAGCAAAACTGGTTATAAATAGAAGGCGTAACGAGCCTTCGTTTAGGCAGAAAAAAAGAAGTCTAAAAGATTCCCCCCTATTTTCTTATTTCTCTGCTTAATAAAGCACAAATCTGATGACCCACATGCTGCTAAATATTCTGCTCCCTCAGGATATTAATTTATTGTTTCTTTTAATTTTATTTAAACTTAGAGAGGTCCAGGGACGCTCTGCAGTGACAGGTTAATTACGGCATTATTAGGAAAAGTATCTGCTGAAAATTACCGTAACGGAGACTTGCGGGAAAGTCCACAGGCATCCCAAACATGTCCTGCCTTCGTTTTCAATAGGGAACTTCTCAAGTTCCCACACAGGCTGACATGGGGGAAAACTCCTGCCAGTAACTCATCACAAGACTGGAGCAGAAATCACACACAGCCTGATGAAAGTTACAGTCAGAATTGTGATTTTCCACCGTTTCGTCAGGATACACAAATGATACACTTAAAAAGTTTCTTTTCATGTGATGCAATGGTTCTACTATAGTTTATCATTCATACTTACTGGGTTTTCTTGCACCCATTCACACTTCTCAGAATGAGAAAAAAACAATTAATATAAAGATATTTCGCCAACAAACGATACCTGTCATGTTGTCACAATCTGCTTTATATCACTCAGGATAATTTATAAACATTCATGAAAAATGTGCTTTTAAAATGAGAAGTCACAAGAATTCAAACAGCATACACATGTATGTGTACACCCACAGAGTTTAAAAATTAAAAAGCAAATTTAAAGTGGTCATGAGTGGCTCAAAAAGCACATATGGCTGACTAAGGGGTCCCACAGCAATCGTTGATGGCAAGGTATAAGTAACAATATTCTCAAAGCCTTGGAAAATTCTGAACAGTTCAAGGCAATCCAACTTTTTCCCTGCAGCCACATGCTTTTGAAGTAGAACTGATACTTGTTGTACCTCTTTCTCATGATCTGAAAACCAGCTGGTGTCTTTACTGGAGCCTTGAGGCAAAATATGAACATCCACCAGGACAGCAAAGTTCCCACACTAGAAAAAAAAAAACAAAAAAAAAACAGACAAAAAAAAAGTTGAACTGGAGCTGCCAGGAAGCACATGTGGAACAGACACAGACAAGGAGATAAACAAGCAGGTAAGCATACCCATCTGATTCCAAGATACAGCAGGCAGAACATTCAACTGTGGAAGTTTATGAAGTATGGAATTACAACTTTATCATTGTTTGTGGACTTCGTAAGAAACAAGAGCACCAGAGCTCACTGAAAACTTTAAACAATAGCAACAAGCATAAGAACATGGAATTTTCTCCTGCTATCTAAATGACATTTTTAAATCTGAGTTCAAGCAAATTTTAATTTTGTTTAATTTCCTTCACCAAACTCCCATCACTCTATTTTCTGAAAATCTGGTACCATATTAGTCATCTAGTTTGCATTTTAATTGTACTAATTCTTTAAAAATTCGGCCTATTGGAGGTCTTTTCCTCTCTAACCTACCTAATGTAAAGAACAGTAACTTTGAAGGATTTATCAATGAATATTAGGCAGTTACCACATCTGTCATTTAGGCAATGCTATCCTTTGAATGGTTAAATAATAAGGCTCCCCCTATATACACTATATAGAGTTGTTAGGATGTTATAGTTACTATAGTTATATGTAGTTATATATATAGTTATAGTTATTAGGATGATATAGGTGACATCCCAAGGCATATCAGCTATTTCTGAAGTTCCTTGATTAACTTTCATTGAGGACAATGTGACACATGAGGTTTAATTCTTTTCTTTCTTCAGTACATCAGTCATTACAATGAACTAATACAAGGAAGAGTGAATGGCACAAACACATCCCAGTTCCACTGGGCACTAACTCATCCCTGCCTCTTTCCCTGCACAGGGATAGGGAGCATTTCAAACTAATGGGTCCTTTTTCCTACTCTAACTCAGCACCAAATCTCAGTCAGACACCCCTGAATCAAACAAGAGGGAAGGGAAAAGAGAATTTCATCATTCTGGTTTGGCTGCCTGTGATGCAATAAACTCCCTCTTCGAGAAGACTGGACATGTGTGGTCATGGCAATTGCACATCCAGAATGTCTGATGGAACAGAAACAACATCCTGATTCCAGACAGACCTCAAATGTGCCCCAACCATCCAGAGGGAGATTTGGCTCCTTTCAAGTGGCCATTGCAGGGCTCCCTTCCTGTCCTCACTCAGTCTCTCCATGTTTGCCCTTCCCTGCCAAACATCTGCACACCCCAACCTCAGAATTCCAACTGCTAACAGAATTAGCTCTAAAAATGGTGTGATATACAGTTTTAGTTGTACATCACCCACAGTCTCTAAGTCAGGTTTATGGTATAACACAAGTACAGTTGTTGGTGTGCAATTAGCACAAAGAACAAGATTTACCATCAACTTTATTAACCACGACAGCATATTTGGTAAATTAAAAACCTCTGGGTTTACAAAACACTTAGATCTGTAAATTATGAGCAAAGGTATTAAAATAATGATTCAAATACAGTTGAAATCTAATTCATGACCAATATTGGAACGTAGCTAGAATGCAAAAGTTTGGCAAATGAGACAGGCATTGGGAAATCATTTTGAGAAACTTCTAAGTTACTTATAGGTATCAGTCACTGAAAGAGCAGAATGCTTTGATCTATTGTATCAAAAGGCTTCTCTTTCCTCCAGAGAACCAAGAATTACCAGATGGCTGCAACAGCAAACCTTTCCAAGCTTTAAATGGATGACAAAATATCTCTCCAAAATCTCTGGTGAATCATTAGTCAGCTCCAGCAAACTTTAAGTTGACTACTGAACTTCAAAGTCAGCAGACGCTGCAGATTATAAAGTGAAAGCCAGTAAATTATTCATGGCTCAGCACTTATAACAACCAACAAGTATTTGATACATCAAGAAAATTCAAATTATCAAATGCTACATGTTAACTGGCATCATTTTCTATTGACTCCAGAAACTTTATATATAGATACAGATGCAAAGTACAGACCTGTTTTTCAAGAAGAGATAAAGTTTGTAATTATTTTCTTCTGAATGGCAACGCTTGTCTCAGTTGCCAATCTTGAAACAAATGGAAAAAAAGAAAATAACGAACCATATTTGAAATTATATAATGGAACAGTTAAAATTAAGATACTACAAACACACCAAACACTTGTCACACTTCAAACAGTACAGACCAAATGCCAACAGAAATAATTGAGAGGAACAGAAGAAAGTGGAAGAAAAATGTACATTGTTTATATTAATAGATTTGATGATCTTATAGAAGTTTCTAAGCAATTTTTATTTTTATTCTGATGACATTTCGTTCCATGCAAATAGTAGCTTTTCTTTGAGAGGAAATGAAGTGTTTCCAGTCAGTGTGGCTGCAAGAAGCAACTCGTGATTCGTAAGTACCACAACCGAAAGGCAAACAAAAAGAACAGCAACCTTTCATTTCATGCTTTCAAACATCAATCTCAAAATTTGCACTGAATATTGTTTTTAGAGGTGTGATGGTCAAAACTGAAACCTGAGAGTGCCTGATTTGATGGGAAAAAAACATTTGTCAAAAATCAATAGGAAAACATTTCACTGAAAAATTAAAGATAGAAACAGATGCGCTCATTTGATATCCCCCATAATTCTAGAATTCAAAAACTCTTCATTTTTACAAGCTGTTTTTAATGTCTGCATTCTTACTGAAACAGTCTGATGACATTCATTGTGTCACTAAACAAAGGGCTTTAAATGCTCTCAGAATGTTGTCAGTGTATTGTTGTACAGTAACGGCATCTAATTCAGAACATGCTTTCAGAAATCAAATTGTTTATACAAATACATCAAACACTTCATAGATTCTGCATGTTGAAAGGATAACCAGTCATGTAACATAAACAGAATAAAAACCAACACAGGGCTAAGTCAGTCAAGGGAAGTCATCTGCTCATAACCTGTTCAAACCTTGAAACAAACACATATTAGATGGTGAACTATTTTTGCAAATCACCCAAATAAGGACTTTTTATTGCTATACTGATTTTTACAATCAGTGGGCTCCTACGTGGTGCTCTCATTTCTTTAAACTGCATCACTTCAAACAGCATAAAACCAGCCCTTATAAACAAAAAATACTTGGGCTGCTGGGGATAAACACGGTGAGTTTGTGTTCGGTGACACCACTCCAAATGTGCTGCATCATTAAAGCAGACAGGGCTGGAGAAACAGCTTCCCATGACACATATTAGTGTTTCCCACTTCTGGGATTACTCTGCAGATGTGGGCTGCAGGGTCAGAATTAATTGTAGCTTAGCTAAAACAGAAACATCTGATGGTTTGGCTGGATTTGGGGCTGGGCGGGAAGGAGCCGAGCTGGAAGTGTCACCCTGCTTTTCCTTCCCCCCAGGAGAGCTGCAGACACAGGTGACACCCCCAGGGTGGCAGCAGGAGTTGGCCCAAAGTTTGCCATCTCTGCTTCATCTCAGAATGGTCTTTGTGGTACCAAAAGCTTGGGGACTTTGTTTATAAGCCTTGCTTTGCTTACAATCAATTTGAATAAAGTCAATTTTGAACCACGTTTCCCAGTTCTACTGGGAGAGAAGCGTGTCCTACACTGCACAACTTGAGTTCTTCAGGATAAACATGTAGGGACTGTTTCTTTCTACTGTTTCCTCTTCCCTGAGAAGTGGGCTAATTAATCACAGTGGTAATTAGTTACAGTCTCAGATGATGTCAACAGTTAAAAAAAAAAATAGACTAGATCCCAGTGACCACTCAAAAATGTCTTTGGAAGCCCTTTTTTGGTGTTGTGACATAACTGATAGGAGGCAGCATCAATCTCCAGGTGGCAAAAGCACAGCCAAGAGATTTTGGGGAAAAAAAATTAAAATAAAACATACACAAGGACCTTATGTGAAATATCTTGACTTAAAACAAAGAGGAAAATTTAAATATTTTCCATCCTTTTTCTTTCTGAAAATCAGTAAATGTTCTACACTGAGTCAAGTGAGTTCAAACATCTACAGCATTAAGTATAACTCTGTATTGTCACTGGCCTATGCACTGTGCCAACTATAATATGACAAAATTCACTTTTTCCAGGTTTTTCAGGAAAAAAAAGTTTGTTCTCCTCCTTAATCTTTCTGACCCCAAAGAAAATGATGTGTCTTCCTTCTGGTTGTACTTTTACCACCAATGACTTTCAATATTTTGACTTTTTCTGTTCTACAGCAATAATTGACCTTTTATTTGTCACCATACAGTCAAGCTGCACAGAAACAGTGTTTCCCTGGTTACTGCTCAAAGCAAGGTGTTTTTTCAACTCTCTATTTCAAGGGTGTTTAGAAACCATCAGGTCACCAGTGAGTGGTTTTACTGCCATGAGATTAATCAGAAGGTCACCTAATGAGAGGAACTGGTAATTGTAAAAGGATTCCTCACCAGCTGATTCAGAAGCAGAGCATAACAGATCAGAGAGAAGGCTCCAGAAGGAGCCACAAGCAAGATCCCTCTAGGAATTATTTATGACACAAGCCCATTCTTCAGAATGCTCAAGAAATATGATGCAAATGCCAGGGGAAAAAAAAAAGGTATATTCCACTTTTGACCTTTTCTCTCTTCTGGATAAGAACTGCTTGGTTCTGGAAATTGTACAAGGCTTGTACTTTGTCAGAAATTAATTTATGAAAGTTGTAGAATAATTTTGACAAATAAATCCTTCTTGTTAAAGGGTTATAGCCATCAGCTAACATCACCTAGATCTTTTAAATTCCCTGCTTTCAAAGATCTATGGGGTCACTCTGCAACAGTAAAGAGGGAGCAGCAAATCAAGGGCAAGGGTAACTTGCAGATCAATCCTTAAAAATAGCTGTACTAAATTATACATAGATTCAGCAGGAATTGGACAACCTAAAATGCATTCAGACTTTCCAAAAGCAGGGAGGAAATTCCCCCTTTTATAACCTGAATATGGGTTATATCTAACTAATCTTTCACAAGTGTTTGGCTTGCTTTTTT